GTAAGGAAGGCATTCTGCTCTGCCCCATCTCCCTTGTGCAGGGAATGGAGTATGGCATGTCTCTGTCCTCCTATGTATTGAGAGGCAGGGTTGTCTTGCTGTGTGTGTATGAAAAGGGTAAAATGCTATATCAAAAGAATGTAGTAGTGGGTATGTAGGATATTGCCCCTAGAAAGTAGGATACCTCCAGAAGCTCCCAAGTGTACCCAGTATAATACACCTCACAATAGTGTTTGAATGCCTTCTTGCATTTGTAAATTGGTTTAATAATTTTAACATACATTTTATGTAGCTGTTGTTGAACATTAAGTATCATTCATTGGACTATTCCTGCCCTCCTTGCTCCGACAACATAAAAACTCAAAGAATGCAAGTTCAGACCCAATGGTTGTTATATAATTATATTAAAACTAAAGCTATTCCTTAAGCTTCAGTTCAGTTTTTGTTCTAATCAATAAACACAGAAGCATCAGTAGCAGATGACTTTGCTTCCATAAAAGACAACTGTTCCCACTCATCCCTTTCAAACAATAGCAGAGATGAAAGCTGCAGATGGACAAATTCCTCTGGAAGATTTAGATGAATTACACATCAGAGCTTCATAGATTTTAAGGCTACAAAGGATTATTATGATAATCTAATGTGACCTCCTGCAAAACACAGGCTACAGAAGTTCATATAGTAACTTCTGCATCAAGGTCATAACTTTTGATTCAATTAGAGTGTATCTTTTGGAAAGACATCCAATCTGATTTAAAAACTTATAGTGATGAAGAATACACCAAATCCCTAGATAAGTTTATTCAGTGGTTAATTGTCCTTACTGTTAAAAATTTGAAAACTGAAAATGTATTTCCAGTTTGAATTTGTCTAGCTTCAACTTCCACCCATTAGAGCTTATCATGCATTTTTTATAAAAATGTATGCATATTAAACGAATTAGCCTACTTTATTTGATTCACACGGTCACAATTTTCTGCACAGCATAGTTAGGAATTCAACAAATTTCCAACACCCATAATACTTAAACAGTCAAGCTCCTTATATGGGCAAAGGAAGTATCAACAAAGGATGGACTAGAGTATATTGCCACATTCTACATTGCTGTTATTTTTGGGATACTTCAGTATGACTCTTCATAGATGCATAGAATGAAATCCAAACCCCCCATTAACTTCAGGGAGGCCAGGGTTTCACCCATAGATTTTTAAGGCCAGAATGGACCATTGCAACCAGCTCTCTCATAACATAGATCATAGCTTTCTTTCATTTAGTTCAACATTTTTTAGTTAAACTATAGTTTGTCTTTCAGAAAGACATCCACTCTTGATTTAAATACTAAAGTCATGTGCATTTAGCATATCCCTTGGCAATCTGTTCCAATGATTAATTATTCTCACTGTTAAAAATTTGCATCTTATTTCCAGTTTGACATTGCTGAATTCACCTTCTGCCTCTGGATCTTGTTATAACTGTCTCTCCTGGATTAAAAAGCCCACTAATATCACATTTCTTCCTGTGTAGGTACCACTATACGTATAGATAAGGTTGGCAAGATTTGATTTCTAATATAATTTTGACAGATAATATTGATGTTTATTTTTAAGCATTTTTTATTTTTATCAATTTAAATTTTCATGGGAAAAATTATGAGTTAAGGTTTTTTTATTTTTATCAATTTACAGTTGTGGGAAATTATGGACGAATCAGACAACAATTATTTAATGATAGTAGACATTGAAATTCTAAAAGTTAAAGCTTTATAACCTCTATAACACAAATTAGGGAGACAAGGTGGGAGAGATAATATCTTTTATTGGACCAACTTCTGTTGGTGAGAGGGACACCAAAGCTGGTCCAGTAAAAGATATTACCTCACCCTCTAATATCTTGGGACCAACACAGCTACAACAACACTGCATAAAAGACAAATTGTCAACATCACACATCAAACTATACAAAATAGATATCCTTATACTCTAGTGAGTTTTCAAGCAGCATTTTTCTTACTTTGTTTATCTCTAAATTTCAATGATTAATGAGGGAAACATTTTTTCATCAGTTTGCGTGTGTACAGTGAAATAAACCTTTATTGACATTTACCAATAAAAATCTAATCCTTCCTTATAAACCACAACGATCAAATGACCTCTCAACCTACTTCGTGATAAGCAAAATAGCTTGAGCTCCTTTTGTCTTTCATTGTAAAATATACTTTCCAGGCCACAATCAATTTCAATTGATTATTTGAGGAGTAAGGTAGAGGAAGGGGGGAAAATGGGGCCCTAAGGAAAGCAGCAGCCTTCAAAGAACTCAGAAGAGAACAACTTATAGGTTGTATTCATCATTCACAGTCAAACTATACCTTCAATCAGTGCACTAATGCAAATTGCACATATGAACTGAGGGAGGATGCAGTCAGATGCATCATGGAGGTAATAAAAAAGAACAAGTTAAAAATCACTTAGAAAAGTTAGATGCCTGCAAGTCACCCGGGCCTGATGAAATGCATCCTAGAATACTCAAGGAGCTAATAGAGGAGGTATCTGAGCCTCTAG